TCTTGTGGAGGGCACACAGTTAATAAAAGAATAGAAAAAATTTTAGTCAACATAATGTTAGCATTTTAAGGTCTCTAGGAACTAATTTTTAAGCTACATGTTTCCACATGGGAGAAAAGTTATAAATATTCTTAAATGACATTTTAAAAGGTAGATAGGACCAGGCATATATCTGTAATCCCAGGATGTGGGAGGTGGAGGCAGAAGGATGAAGAGTTCAAGGTCATCCTTGGCTACATAGCAAGTTCTAGGCCAGCCTGGGTTACATGAAATCTTGTCTCAAAAATAAACAAGTAAGTAAATAAATAATAGGTCAAAGAGACATGTAGCTGTTGATAGCATGCCTTGGTCATGTAAAGATGTCATTTTTAACATTAGATTTATAGAAATATCAACAGAGTACTGCATGAATTTTGAAAAACTAATGAACAATAACAATAAAACCACTTGATAGGGCTGAGTCAAGAGAAATTAAGTCAGTGTTGGGGGGGAGCAAAGAGGGTTCAACATGGGCATCATGGTGCCAGCAGTTGGAAAAGTAGACTAAAGAGGACTCAGAGCCCAGACTCAGACCCACACACCCATGTAAACTTGGTATACGGAGGACAGGAAATGCAACTTAGTGTGGAGAGTTTGTGTATTTCAATTAGTGATGATGGGACCATTGGCTCGGCATGTAAAACCAGAGCTTAGGTCTACCGTCAAACACTCCACCACCATCAGCTTCAGGCAGATTAAAAACAAATGTGAAAAAGCAACATTTTAGGAGTCTTTGAAAAAAATGAATACACTTATCACCCGAAAACGGGAGATGATTTTTAAACCCAACCCCGCGCGTCCTACTTTCAAAAGTGTACTTTGTGTTGTGAATTGTGTCATTTATCTGCTGAGAAGCTACATTAAAGTTAAAAGGCATGTCGTTTTTAAAATTAAAAAAAAAAGACATTTGCAACTCACACGGTCCACAGAATTGATAAACAACTCTTATAGAGCAATGAGAAGAGAAAAAAAAGTTTCAACACGAGAGCAGGTGATGGATATGCCAGAAAAAAAAAAAATCACGGAAGAAATCTAAGCAGCCAGCAAACAAACAAACAAAAAACCAAAAAAACCCCAAAACCCCACAAAACAAAAAACAACAAATACCAAAACAAAACAAACAAACAAACAAAAAACCAAAAAAACCCCCCACAAAACAAAAAACAACAAACACCAAAACAAAACAAAACAAACAAACAAACAAACAAACAAACCAAAACTCATTGCGAATGGCCCAATGCAAAACAGCCGCTCTGGGAAGACTCACATGGTGTTTATATAAACTGGAGAACTAAAGCTCAAAAATGATGCTGAGTGAAAAAAAAAAAAAATCTGTAAAGGTCTGACCGTATTTATGTCATGTGTGAGCCCAGGAAAGCCAGTAACGTATTTCAAATAGATCCATATGTAATGATGGCAAAACTCCTACCCTGAGGCTGCAGTGTGTGGCTGGGTGGTAGAACCATGTCTGTGTAGTATGTGAGAGTCCCTGGGGTCCTGCAACACAACAGGAAACCCGGCACACCCCGCTTGGAATGAAGCACTGTGTTGTAAGTTACAAAGAAACCCAAATCCAGGTAGAGAGCTGGTTTGTCCTAGCTGATCCTGCTGCATCTTTTCCTTTTTTCCTTCAGTGATGCCATAGGCTCTTGACATCTGAGACATTTGATTCTCCGGTTTTTAATATAGGAGAGGATGATACACGGATGGGATAGAGTAGTTATATCATAGTAGTTATGTCACCTAACCGACAATTGCTTCCAGATTTCTCCTGCACGGCCGTGCCAGAAGACTGGTTTACCAGCACATGAGTGCATCGCTCCACATGGTGCAGAAGGACACTGGAGAAGGAAGAGGCACCAAGAAGAGATTTTCAGTGAGATTTTCTTAAATGCCTTTAAAATGTAAGGAATTTAAAAAGTAAATATGGTACAAAAAAGCTTCAAAGAAGCTGGGGTTTATTATACCGTTCTATACTTTTCTGTGCTTTGGAAATACAGGTCAAGGGTTCCTTAACCCACATATTCGGGACCAAAAGTGTTTTTTGGAGTTTGGAATATCTGCATAGACATAGTGCCTTCCTTATCTTGGAGATGGGACCCAAGTTTAAACACAGAATTCTGTTGTTTCATCTACAAGATGATACATACAGCTTGAAGGTAATTGTGTAGAGTTTTCAGTGGGTCTATGTTATGGCTGTGACACATGACTTGAGGTCAGATGTGGAACTTTCAACTTGTGCCCGTGTTCAAAAGGTTTCCAATTTGGAGTATTTTGGATTTGCAGGTTTAGATTTGTTCCAGCTGTATGTCTTAGAAAATAAAACCCATTCAGCTGAATTTTTCAGGCAAATATAACCTCCACCATTGCTTTGGGAGACTTAAATCTTACCTAGTTGGACACAATATTGTAACACTATGTTGAAAAAATGTGGGATTAACCAACGGAATTTTAGAGTCTATTACTTAGAGCTCTGTCATGATTCCCCAGACAGTTGCATCTTGGAAACCAATTGGAATATCACTAAAGATGCATGAGCAGTGACATAAAAGGTCACACCGATGTCCTTACTTACCCAACTATAACCACCGCAGGGCCACTTAAATTATAAATTTAGATTCTCGATATAAGAAGACAGAAATCCAAACAAATGGGGACAGAACAAAGGAGGTGATTCTACTCTATGCAGCCGAGCATGGGAGTGAACTCCTGCAGCCCCAGCACCCTGGAGGCCACCACACGAAGACTGTGAGTTTGAGGACAGCCTGGCCTACATAGTGAGGGCCGGTCTCAAACAAACAAACAAACAACTCACCAACCCACAGAACCCAGACAATTCAGCAGCCAAGTCAAACAACAGGTATTTTTCAAAACAGAGGAAGATACTAGAAATGAACAAAAGCAGTATCCTGAGCGGCCCAGGCTCGTGCTACACCTGGGAGCTCCTTCCCGGTCTCAAAGGCTGATTCCTCACGTGAAATGAGTGTGTCTTACTGCACTCCCTCCTCCACCTCGCGGAGATGCTAAGAGGATTAAGGTACTGTAAGAAGAGTGCCTATACAAATGGGATCCCCACAGCCATTGGCATGAACACGATGGCTTGCCACAGTGTGACCTCACTCATGCCTTGTATGGACATCATCAGCAGGGCATCCCTTCACTCTGACCCAGGTGTATTTTAGACAGGATGGCTTTCAGGGTCAATGAACACCCAACAGAAAAGAAAGCAGAATGGACCCAAGAAGAGAAAGGTCTTCCTAATTCTCCAGCTCTTGCAGAATAGGCCTCACGGCTGAGTCCTCACTTGCGAACTCATCTTTTTCTTTCTTTAGACGAGGAGACACACGAACATTTAAATTCCACGGAGTGAAAAATCCCTCCCGAGGTTAGCCAAAGCTCTCTGTATTTCATAAAGGGCTTGAAGAGCCAGATTCTGCTATGCAGGGGGGCACATGGCTGAGTGAGCCCTGATGACGTATTTGAAGGGATGATGCCTCTAAAGCTGTCTGGCCTCTGGCACCAAGGACCTACTCCCCAAGTACTTGTCATCATCGGTTTACAGCCAAACCACAGAAGAGCTAAGGCAGGGACCTCTCAGCATCCAGCATCTTTCTGGGTCACAATGGCATTAGCGGGCTCTGGAAAGTGATGCTATCCCGGGACTCATGGGATTGCCAAATAGGGGCCTGCAATAAAACCACCACATCACTGGTGAGCATGTGTGGCTTCTGCAGTTTTTGATGTGTTTCTCACGGTCTTACTGCCGGGCTGATTTATCCAGATAGTGTTTCTCTGTGGTGGCTCCACATTTAAATACCTGAAGACCATTTAGAAAATTCTGATGCTGTGGCCCCATCCAAGACCAATGAGTCAATTTCTGAAAGTAGGGTCTTGATACTGCTTTAAAAAAATAATGCTTTTATTTTTTTTTTTTTTTGAGAATTTCATACGGTATATTTTGATCAGATTTCCCCCCTTCCCCAACTCCTCCCGAGTCCCTGTCACCTCCCTACCCACCCAACTTCATACTCTTTCTCTCTTTTAAATACAACAACAACAGACCACAAGCCCTGGGGAGTCCGGTTTGTGTTGGTTGACTGCTCCTGAGCACTGGGTCCACCCAGGAATGTGGCTGATATACCCAGTGTCGCGCCATTGAGGAAAACTGATTTTCCTTCTCCCAGCAACGACCAGTTTCAACTAGCTTCTGGGTTAGGACTGGGACATCATGCCCACTTCCCTTACATGCTGGGAGTTTGTCTGACTTTAGCTTGTGCAGGTCCAGTGCATGCGGTCACAGTCTCTGTGAGTTCAGACCTACATCAGGCCCTCTATGTCTGGAAAATGTCCTTTCTTTGGAGTCACCCACCACCTCTTGTTCTCACAGTCCTTCTGTCCCTGGTTAAATTCCTGAGCCTTTAAAGGAGGCCATGTAGGCCAGCTGTTCCTTGTTCTTTTGTTTTGAGACATGGTGTTGTGGAGCCCAGGGCTTGAACTCACTATGTGGCTGAGGATGACATTCCACTTCTGATCCTCCTGCCTCCACAGGTGAGCCCAGCACCCACAGTTTTATTTGGTGCTAAGAACAAAACCTAAGGCTTCAGGCATGCTCGGCAAGCGGTCCACCAACTGTATACCTTAATTGTGTTTTGGAAGGAGAATTTCCCAGGTGCTTCTGTGGGTGGCCCAGGAGGAGAAGCATGGGCTCAGAAGACACCAAATGGTTCTCAGAGTCTATAAGATCAAGCAAGTGAAACCCTGATGCAGCCTTGGTGTTTTCTATGAGCTGGACTGTTAGCAATGTAGAAATCTGCCTCCTACAAGCCATGCTGGTACTAAATGTCAGGGACCCAAAAAGACACAGGAGACGCCGATCCTGCCTCTGGGGAGCTCATTTTCATGGTCCCAATAAGCAACTCATAATGTTCTTACAGGAGAACAACCTGTGTGTATTGACTTACCTATTAAAGTGGTAGATATCCTGTATGTTTCCAAAAAGAGCAGCCCTATCTTCGGTCCCCAGGGGAAGTTTTGTCTGGTCCCGGATGCATGCGAGGTAATCCTGTGAAGTCAATGAGAAGGATGCCTTAGGACTCCTGATCTTTTCTAAGACATTTTTAATATACAAGATGAATCATTGGCATCTATTTCAAATAATTATGATACTAATGTGCTCATTACCTCTACCACAGAGTATGGACAGATGTTCTCTCATTAACGAGTATAATACTTACCTATTAAAGAGCATGCAGTTGTACCAAGGAGAAAGAACGTGGCCTACATTAAAGTACCCCCCCCCCATCTCCCCAATCCATCAGAGCTTCTTGCTATGGATGCTGGTTCTGGTTAGTGATAAAGTCAAAGTTTGGGCAGGGTATTTCCTATGCCCTTGAATGATTTATTTGATTAAGAATCCAGGAGTTTCAGGGTATAGCTCAGGTGGAAAGTGCTTTTTGTGCAAGCACGAGGATCTGAGTTCAAGCCCTGAAACCAACATGAAAAAACCCACGACATAACACAGACTTGTAAGCCCAGTCCTGGGGAGGTGGAGACAGGTGGATCACTGGAGCTTGTTCATTGGCTAGCCAGCCTAGTTGAATTATCCAGCCCCAGGCCAGTGAGGACCCTGTCTCAAAAGACAAAGCAGACAGAACTTGAAGAACAATACCCCAGGTAGATCTCTGGATTTCACATGTGCTGGTCATACACATTTGAAATCCATAGAGTGGAAAAATCAGAAATAAAAAATTCAGAGTGTGATAGAGTTGTTTAAGACAAACCTTTAAAGTATAAAGGTATCAGATACTTATATACAGAACCAGATCCATGCCAATATGGGAAAAGTTTAAAAAATAAGCACATTTCTCACTTTTGTTAAGTGTGTTAAATTACATGGATGAACCACGGGGAATGGAAATAACTTTATATGTCTAACACTTAAACAGCTCTTAAATACATCCCACATCAGTCAGACCCACAGAGGGTTAAAACCAACACAGCCCAGACGCTGCTTGGATTGCCAAGAGGGGGAAACTGCTTTCTGCTCCTTGTGTGCTCCAGAGTTCATAACTCAGCATTCCTCTCTCCCACCATTGCTGAAGAATGGACTCAGTAGGAAGCAAGAAGAGAATTAAAAAAAAAAAAGTGGAAGCAGCTGAAATAACATAAAATAAAAAAAAATCAATACAGTTCCCTCCCCAAAACTGTACATTGTAGCTCCATTTCCTTCTAAGTCCAAGATGTGATCTGCAAGCATTGGGGGGCAGGTGTGCTATAGCATTGGGGGGGACGTGTGCAAAATAACAGGAACCACAGAGCACAGCTGCCCACTGCATCCCATTTTCCAGCAGGCCACAAGGTGGTGCGCAGAAGAACCGGCTGAAGGAGAAGCTGGGGTATCTTAGGCCTTTTCCTAAGCCACACTAACTTGTTTTGTTCCTTCTGTAAACAGCAAAGGCATTGTCGTTCGCTTCCTAAAGTAACACAGGTCACTGTCTACACCAAATACGCTTTCATTCTGGTCCCTTTCCGCCTAAAAGTATTGCCATACATGACTTTTATTATCTTTTTAAGCAAGCTTTGTTGGTAATTGCTTTTTTTTTGCCCCCTCATTCCTTCCTCCTCCTTCTCCCTTCCGCCCTTCCTGGAAGCGAACATCTCATAAGAAAGCAGGCTCACAAGATTTCAGTGTAGTTGGCTGGCACCCCCTCCGCGCCCCCCCACCCCACCCCCACACAAGCTAAGCTTATTATCACTTTCACGAGAGGGACAATGATAAGGAAGTTATGTCTGTGCAGGGAAGTTAATGTCCAGCCAAGAGCAGCTACGCATGACCGAATTGAAGCAATAGTACATTTAGAACAACATGTACAATCTGCTCTTCATCAAAAAAAAAAAAAAAAAAAAACCATTCACTGAGAACTAGTGGGATGGGTCAGTAGGTAAAGGAGCTTGTTATCAATCTGACGATGGCTTGACTACCACGCCCCCCACCCCCACCCCGAACCCACACGGCGGAAGGACAGAACCAACTCCCACCAGTTGTCCTCAGAACTCCACACACAAGCCATGGCATGCACTCCTCTCCAAAGAGATGCCAAATAAAACAAATTAGTATTTTATTAAATTATACATGGCACATACAAAGGGTCTAATACTCCACTTCATCAATGCTTCTTTTTGATAATAGCTTAGCATGTCATTAGACACTTAAAGAATTTTATTATTTTTATTTTTATATGTGTGTGTGTGTGTGTGTGTGTGTGTGTGTGTGTGTGTGTGTGTGTGTGGTGTGTAGTCCACACAAGGGCAGGTGCCCAAGGAAGCCAGATGTGTCTGATCCCCCTAGAGCTGGAGTTACAGGCAGTTGTGAGCTGCTCAACATGGGTGCTAGGAACTAAACTTGGGTCCCCTGGAAGAGTAGCAAGTGGTCTTAACCACTAAGCTACCTTCTCAGACCCAAATGAGACATTTTCAAGGAATATTTTGCATGTAAAATTAAGGAAATTAGCCGGGCGGTGGTGGCGCACGCCTTTAATCCCAGCACTCGGGAGGCAGAGCCAGGCGGATCTCTGTGAGTTCGAGGCCAGCCTGGGCTACAGAGTGAGTTCCAGGAAAGGCGCAAAGCTACACAGAGAAACCCTGTCTCAAAAAACCAAAAAAAAAAAAAAAATTAAGGAAATTAAACTAGAGACCCTGGACCATACCAACACATCAAGCTGGAAGGTACAACTGGGATGGTGATCAGATGCCAGATTCACATGATTGGCTATAGCAGGCTGTGAAGGAAAAATGCAGTAAAAATCCTTGAAGAATTTCATCTGGGGTTGGAGACAAAGCCTGTGGCTCCCTTTCAACAAATCTCTAATGGAAAGTACTTTGAAACTCTGAGAGTTCATGGCAGAGACCCTATATTTTAGAAGCTGCTTGCTTTTCTGACATTGTCGAGAAAATAGGCCATTAGGAGTCCACATTTTTGTAGGTCATTCTAGATAACAGATCAAAGTTGTATGGCCACAACTTGTCCCCACTCTGACCATAATTAAGTCTTTTAAAGAGGGGACGTTAACCCTGAACCAGTTACTGGAAACTAGTGTAGCATGTGCTGCCCTGGCAGCTGTAATCATCAAAGCCAAAATGAGAGGCTGGAAGCTCGGCCTAATAACAGTTCACTCTGTGCTCAAATGACAGAGCGAGGGCATCCGTGAATTCCACCAGAGCCTATCACACTGCTCATTAGTTTCATTGGCTTCATGTCAGGACCTATGGCTATCATAGGGCTCTCAACCAACCCATAGAAGATGTCGGCACTGGAAGGGATTCTTGGCCATGAAGGAATTCACTCTGTTTTGGGGGCAGGAAGAAACAGACAGAGACACTCAAAAAGATGACTTGTTATCACTCAGTTTCCCTTTTGAGATGTAAAAATCTGCTTTAAAGTATCTAGTTTTTAAGTAGTTTATGTCCTTAGGATCTCCTTCATTGAACAGTTTGTACATGACCGCTCTCCTCCGGCTTCTTATTTGAAAATACCTCCTTATTTGAAAATATCAAAATAGAGTCTAACTTGGTCCCTGTCCAGGTGTGGGAGTGGGTAGGAGGCAGTTTGCAAACTGTTTCTGACCCACAATGACGTAAGGACAGAACCTGAAGAAGCATGTTGACACCTTGATATGAGTCTGACGATCTGTTAGCTTATTAATAAATCTGTTTCTATAACTCTTAAATTATTTTTAAAAAGTTTACTTTTTTTTTCTGTGCATAAGTGCTTTGCCTGCATGCATGTCTATGCACCACATGCAGGCCTGGTGCCCTAGGAGGTCAGGAGAGTGCATCTGATCATCCATGGACCTGTTGCTACAGGTAGTTGTGAGGTGACACATGGGTACCAGGAATGAAACTCAATCTCCGGCAGAGCAGCCAGTGCTCTTAAACACGGAGCCACCCCTTCATCTCCACAACTGACATATCTTATACTTCCCTGCTTAATTATTTTACAAATGCAATATTTGGTGACGAAAGCTATAACGCAGCACACACACATGCACACACACACACACACACACACACACACACACACACACACACACACACCAGTTGGAGAAATTCTGGTCTAGAAAAACCATGCTGCAAAGACACACAAAGAATGTTATGGAGAGTTCTATAGAGATCGCTGGGACAATTTCTACAAGGTGCTTGAAGAAATTTAGCCAATGGCTCCTCTAGCTTGTCTTTTCCTTGAGATCATGTTTTAAAATGTTACAACCCACTTAGTACTTACTAGAGATCAACCACTATGAGGAAAAGATCGTTATTTACATGAAAGGTACCTAGAGTGCCTCTCAATGTTTTAGATCCATTTTCTCCTGTACTCTCTTCAGCTTGGAGATAATCCCACTGTGGAAAGGAAACTGGAAACTTCTTTCCTGATCCTCTTGTTTATACATCAACTCCTACACAGTGGATTTCTGTGGCACTTTTTGGTCCAGCTCCTCCTGTTAGCACTTTGCACCCTATTCGTTAGATAGAGCTCTTACAGCTTTCCTTTTTCTTGATGGTGGTGATGCTGTTCTTTATTTGGGAGAAAGCATCTTCTCCATCTCCCAGAAGCCATCACTGGCCACCACCTGGTACTGTGTCGGGATGCCAGTGAAACCAGAGTGACTTATATTTGCATACTGATTTACAGCGTTAAAGCACATTCAACTCCACTCAGCCAGTCCTTCCGGCTGCTCTTTCTGGGGGCATTAAGAGTGGGTGCCAAGTTCTGTTTTACAAGCTAGGAGTTTACAAATTGAATCATACAGATCCTTCCCTTCAAGGAGCTCCCTCCCTGGCAAGCTGAAAATGTGTCAACAGACAGGTCCTGTACAGTTCTAGCTAAATGGCTGATAAGTGTCCAGTAGAGAAGGATGCCCATACTTAGTACAGAAGGGAATCACATGAAGAAGTGGTCAGTTCCAGGAAGGGATAATAACCCTTGGCAGGAGAGAAGACCTTTTAAAGAGTCACTACTGCTACCAGACTACTGAAAAAGAATGGACTCCAAAGAATCAAATTTAG